TTACAACTGTGTATTTACTTATTCTTAACATAGCTCACACACACATTCTCCACAACACATTCCAATATAAACATGACCAATTTTCTTATAAAACTTGGTTCAAAATGAATTCCAACAGGACAAATCTATAAATCTCAAATAGCTTGAAAGAATGGTATAATCAGCACCATCTTGACATGTGCACTGAATTCACGGAAACACTTTATGGCAGAAACAAGATACTAAAACAATACAGAATAACGGTGGAGCCGATCACTAACATCACAGAGCATAGGAGGTGTGCGACCCAAACTAACATGCTAACCTTAGCGTGCTGCTAAAGCCGTAAACAAATACTTACAAAAGTGTAATTTACTGTACTACACAATGTTGTACGCTTTCACTTTCCAACCGTAATGGTTAGTCTATGCTATATAATGGATGTGATTGCTATTATATTCTCTTTCGGGCACGATACGAACCTGTAAACAGGAAAGAAATGATCAGACAGGGAGACGTGGCATGCGCGTCAGGCTGCTAACAACAGGCCAAACCATGGTCTCACACTGCCACCTACTGGTACAAAAATGGAGCGTCCGCTACAAATATCCCAGGGTAGTTACCAAGTTTCCTGTTAAAATTACTGTAGTTATTTAGGGCATTTCCAAATGGAAATATCACTTACATTGAAAGTGAAATTACTTAAATTAATTCACATAAATGTGATCACACATTAGTGGGTATCACATAATGATTATTGTTATTGATTATCATTACTTTACCGGACTGGTTACCTATAAAGTATTTTCAGACTGTTGGGTCTGTCTAGCACAGGCCCACCGCTGGAACGAGACAATTTAAAAACACAGCAAAAGCATTGAACACCAAGTAGGCAAAGTTCTTCGTGTTACTCATGCATGAGGGAGACCTGCCTGGAGCCAAGTGTCATTCCACCACTTGACCTCCCCATATGGAAAAGATATATATAAATCTTATAAAGTTTTTAATCTGTCTTGTATGAAACTTGTATGAAAAGCATACAAGAGTGAAAACAGAAATAAGATCACTTGAAAAATTATATGATGAAACTTGTATGTTTTGTATACTTACTAAAAAAATATATGAAAGTAATGAGAAAGTGGCCACTTTCATGAGTAAATCATGTATGTTTTTACTATTTCTTTTCCATATGGGTCCGTCAGACTCTCGTCCGCTCCCCCATAATACTGCTCTTTTATCTTTTATTGAGGTTACATGAATATACATAGGTTCATTAACATATGACGTCTACATACAAACAAAGAGTACCTTGCCTGTGTGTGTGTGTGTGTGTGTGTGTGTGTGTGTGTG